TTCATATATAGGCTGCAAAAGTTTATAGACACCCCCCACCTGTTTGATAAAATGCCTCAAAGAATTATGTTTTCGAAACTGAGTGTTGCTTTGGCGATGCTACTGTTGTTTGCCGATTTTCCTTTCTTCTCGACTGGCTGCCCCTCGGACGGGAGCCAGTGCAGGAACTGTATCGTGAACCGGTTGAAAACCGAGTGCCCGGGCTGTGGCCTGATCATGCAGTGCATGGCTAAGTGCTTGTGGGCCGGTTCTTCACGTGCAAAGTGCGTGAAGAGATGCGACTGTAATATTGGCGGGTACCCGAGACTGGCCGATTGCAAGAAGTGTTTGTTTCAGTGCAAGTGTAGCTGTGTGGCCTCGGCATAGCTTTTTCTTTTTTTTTTAAGGTTTTGTGGGTGGTGAATAATATGAAGTGTTGTTTTTGCAGTAGAGTGCTGTTATAAGTTTGTTTTGTCATGGCTTGTTTAGGTTTTGTGATTTCTGGGGGTCAGTACTGGTTACTATTTGAAGGGGTTATTAGTTAAATATTTCAGTTGTTCTCTCTCTCTCTCTTTTGTGCATTTTGTGGCTTATATTGTTGTTGGAAGGAAAAAATAAATTAAAAAATGTACTTTTATAAGGTGTGTTTGCAGAGCTTAGATGCAGATGATTTAATTCTAGTTTTGAGCTACTCGAAATCGATTCGTTTTAGGCAGCAACACGACTCTACTCTAGCTCGTTTGATGAACCACTGGCTCAACCTTAAAATAGAGTTTGTTTGTATGAACAAGCCAAAATGAGTTTGTTTGTATAAACATAAGGAATCTGATCAAGTCTATTCTTCTATTGATGTAATATACATAAAGTATTTCGTCGAACGCCTCTTTTAGATCCTCAATTTTGGCATATGAATATGGCTCATCAATGCTCAATATATACATGATACAAACAAATATTCTTCCAATAACATATATTGAAGTGTGCGATTTTGAATACATCAAAATTTGATTTTATTAAAAAGTTACCTCGTCGAACGAGTCAACAATGCCTATAATCTCCAGCATATATACCTCACAACAAAATATCCACATATCTCATCTCCCAATTATTTTCGACACTTGTATGAAAAACATAAAACATTATTTATATTACACAAACTTAATCGATGCATACAACCGACAAAGAAATATGAATGCTCCAAAATTAAAACACTTAACACCATTCACTAAATTTACCTGTGGAGGAACCACGTAGGCTTCTTCATTTCATTATTACGTTATCCCTTAACCATGTGTTGAAACTAATGTTATACTCCCTCCTGTTCATAATATCTGTCGTTTTAAGAAGTTGCATAATAATTAAGATTTTTTTTTACCAATAATAACCCTTTTTAATGAAAATTAATAATATGAAAATTAAGAGTGGATATGAAAAGGCGTAGTGTATTTATTAGCTAAGGATAATAATAGAGAAATATGTATAAAAGATCCAAAACGTCATTTATTTGATAATGGTTGATTAAGTCAAAATGACATTTAAAAACAATAGAAGGGAATAAATTATAATGCATATGCACAGGCCCATACATCGGTTTTTTGGAACCGATGCTTTAAGTTCATTTTATTACATCGGTTTTTACCTCGGTTTTGTAAGAACAGTTACACAAAATAAAATTGATTTACAAAAATGGTGTTTTTTTTTTTTAAAAAAAAATATGGTATAATTTATTTTATAGCATTCGTATATTTTAACAAATACATAATAGTTCTATTAGGTGTAATGTTGTTGTTAGGCAGACCGAACTATTAAGAACTCATACTTTTCAGTAGACACTACAAAAAAAAATGACGAAATTCCAATGAAAAATTCCAACGGAAATATATTCCAATAGAATTTCAACGACAATTTTAATGGATATTCCAATGCTATTATTTCCGTTGGAATTTTCCAATGGATTCCAACAGAAATTCCAACAATTATTCCGTTGGAATGAGTTTTTCATTGAAATTTTCGTTGAATTTTACCGATTCCAACAGGGGTTAAAAAAATTTGAACGAAAATTGCATATTCCAAAGAAAATTACTACGGCAAAAAACCGTTGGAAAAATAATCATTTGAGTCATCAAATTCCATCTAAATTTCTAATGGAAAACTCATTCTTTCGTTGGAATTATTCCAAAGAAAGTTATACTATTGGAATATCCGTTAGAATTTCCATTAGAATATATTATCACAAGACTTTTCATTTGAATATAACAATTTTTTTGTAGTGAAATGCAGCTGATGAAAGAAAGGACATAGATTAAAAAATAATATAAATAAATATGATATAAATAAATATATGAACTAATATAATTATGCATTGTTGGAACCTAACCCCTACGGTTCACTTTAAATTGTGTTCTAATAGAAGTGGAAATTTATATGAGGGGATTAAAAAAATAGGCATTTAAATTTAAAATATTTTTGTGACTAGTAAAATATATTATTGAATCTAGCTCAATAAATAGGGTATAGGATTAATCATTGTACAAAGGTGACAAATATCAGTATGTATATTACTCGAATACAGCCTAATTACATTCTGAACTTGGTCCGTACTTTCATTGCAGGTTCATTCATGTACGCATATATACCCATGCGTTAAATGCCAGATTTTACGAGTTTTGGGACCCTTTTATGCATCTCCGCACGCTTTATATATACAGATCAATCAATTCAATAAAAATGTCATCATCCACGAAACAAGCTGTTTTTTTTTTCTCCATTTTCCCACCATAGTGTTGACATAATTTCACCATAATCTCCTCTATAAAACCCCCGTCACTTATTCATTCATTCATCCAAAGCTACGTGATAACCGCAAAATGATGAACATTCCGTCGAGGTTCGGCCGAGCTGCGGCAGCTTACAACTCGTTTTTCGGGCAGCCGGACACCGTGAATCTCTCTGCTCTCGTGAATTCGTTTCTCGAGCGAGAAACAACGAACGACGACGATTGGATCGATTTTTTTTGCCGATGAAGCCGATAATAATCGTGCGGCAGAGAGCGACTCCAATTCCCAACATCTATTGGATAATTTGTTCGTTTCAAAAAACGATGCCGTCCGGTGGAAAATCCACGCGGAGGTGGAGAAGTCGCTTACGATGATCGGCCGCGAAATCGAAAATGAACGCTCGGATTTTAACCGCCTGTTAGAATATCACTTGTAAGTTGTCTCACATCGTTCATATATGGAAAATAGACTCACCTTATAAGACTAATGGGCTACTCCTCCTTCCACCAATTGGTTTTGAGATGGAACCCCATTTGGGCTTCATATAGGTTTTTTTCCTTCTTTCATGGTGTCCTTCATGGTAGTGGGCCAGCACCCATTTCCCCCAGTTTCTGTCATGGTATCAGAGCCGGTTCTATCTTGGACCGTGTGATGACGTACTCATTGTTTATCCCCCACGTACCCGTTTATGGGAGCCTGTTTGTAGTAGGGCTTGGGGCACCTAGCCCAGTTGGGCTTGGGCTTTCGAAGGACTCACAAGTGCCTGTTTGTAGTAGGGCTTGGGGCACCTAGCCCAGTTGGGCTTAGGCTTTCGAAGGACTCACAAGTGAGGGGGCGTGTTAGAATATCACTTGTGAGTTGTCCCACATCGTTCATATATGGAAAATAGACCCACCTTATAAGACTAATGGGCTACTCCTCCTTCCACTAATTGGTTTTGGTATGGAACCCCATTTGGCTTCATATGAGTTTTTTTCCTTCTTTCATGGTGTCCTTCATGGTAGTGGGCCAGCACCCATTTCCCCCAGTTTCTGTCACCCGACTTGTGGCTATTCTACGCGGCAAAGGCTTCAACAGCGGTTAGTTAGTTAGTTAATGAAACCCTAACTTTTTTGCGACAAATAGTTAGTTTCAATTAACAATGCCCTAACTAATTTTTCCTTCGATTAAACCGTAGGTGTGTGCAAATCCAAATGCGAAAAGGGCGGTCGCCGGAGTTACCATGACCATGAGTTCGTCGACGTCTATGCATCCGGTGGCCGATATGTGGTCGAGGTGTTTCGAATTTACGATTGCACGGCCAACCGAGGGCTACGCCGCCTTGCTGGCGATGTTCCCCCGAATTTTTGTCGGGAGACCTGACGAGCTGAGACAAGTGGTTAAAACCATGTGCGCGGCCATCAAGAAATCGATGAAGACAGCTGGCATTGTTGTGCCTCCGTGGCGCCGCCTGGCGTATGTGCAGTCGAAGTGGTTCGGACCGCATGAACGAACCACTGAAGGCTCGAATACCGGTGGTGACTCATCGCCAGACTTCTTTGCACGGCATGCGAATATGGGACATTGTTCTATTGCAGGGATGACCTGGCAACGACTCTGAATCGAGATATGGTGTTGTAGGTAGAAGAAGATGAATCCACATGACTTATGGGGATCTTAAAACAATTTTTAAGTGTAAATTTGAACCTATGGTAGGAATGTAGCATGGAATTTAGTTGAGCTTTTGGGTCATTTTGTATTTTAGGGAAGATTGGTTTTTGGATAGTTTTTGCAGGACTAAATTACATGTATTTACAAGTCTGGGTGAGCAAAATCGTAAAAAATTTGATAGTTCAATTTGATTCTTTTACTGTAAAAAATTTCCAGTTTGGTTTTTCCCGCGGTGCAGTTCGAATTATTATTTTTCATAAGTTTGATTTTGTTCGATTTTGTTCACCAAATTAAATATAAATGTATAGAAAAACCAAAGCAAAGCCAAAAACCGATTCATACATTTCGGTGCATTTCCGTTATTTAAGTGTAGGATTTTCGATTCTCTTTCGGTTCGATTTTTCCTAGGTTGCGGTGAGATTTCCGTTATAAATGTATAGAAAAACCAAAGCAAAGTCAGAAACCGTATTGAACAATGTATTTTGGTTTTGGTTCAATAATTTTAGAGTTAAAAATATTTTGTCGTACTTCAGTTCCGGTTTTTTCTTTTTCTTTTTTTTTTTTGGTAGGTTCGATCTTTCAGTTAGCGAACAGCATCGCTGCTCACCTTAGTATTAGTTTGAATGTGGAATGTGACAGACATACTCCAAACTGAGAAGGAAGAAAATCGAAAACAAAACCAATCACCTACTAAAGCTCTATCAAGAACACAAAATTTCATGCCGATGGTCTAATAATGTTGATGATGCACGCCAATTTGTCAAAAAATACTCGTTCAGATTATCTTTGCTCCGTATGATAGGAATGCCGTTTTCACAACAATGCAGCTGCTACATGAACGTATAATTTGTGCTCTTGATTTTAAATAAAGCATTATAAAGTTAAAATATCGGAACTTACCTCTGTCTATTGGTGACCAAAACGACGACGTCGCGAATCGACCTGAAATTGGAGCCTTCGCCGGAAACAAAAACAGACAAATTTTTCCGTCTGAGCTTTTGCTTTAGTTTTGGGGCTATCTTCTTCTTTACTCCTGTCGCTACAATTCGTCTTGCTCTGGGCGCGCACAGAGCGTATGAAGAAAACGAACAGTGGAATTTTAACAGAAGCCCTTTTAGGGGAACGAATTTTTATGGTGGGTATTGAGGAAATGGATGAATTCAAGAAAGCTATGGGAGCTGAATTTTGCAGACGATAGTGTATGTAATGTTGTTAGTGTTGGTGCACAGTTTTGGGCCGAGTTGAGGTGTTATCGGCCCACCAAGAGGCAGCTTTTAACGGGCCACGTGCAGGCTTTAGCGGGCCAGCTTGTTTTGATAGGTGTAATTTATATTATTTTATTTTAAAAAATATTTCAATAATAAATTTGGAATTTAACTAACAACTAATTATATCATTTTTATTTTCAAATTAATTATGAAAAAAAATTGGTTTTGATCGGATTTATTTGTNGAAGTGACTGGATATAAAATGAAGCTCGGGATAGTTTAGGATTTTAATTTTTTTTTGACTGTCAGTGCTCCTATGTAATCGGCGCTGAAGGTGTGCCCCGAAAGAGCTTGTCATTAATCAGTTTGCAGTGAGTTTATGCGATTAGTCAAAGGTACAATCTTTTTCCTTCTTCGTTTTTCCTTTAATTTTTTCAATCGAATGCATCATACTGTAAACTCACAGTTGGGGAAACTAAAAATAGTTGGTGCTTTTACCTTTTGTTATTGAATTTGTTTGAAAAAGTGTGTTGAGAGAGGAAAATTAATAGGGCTCCCAAATGCTGTCCGCTGGAAAAGTGCGAATATCTGCAGCTTGAGTTTTTACTTCGAAAATGTTTTAGTTGAGAATTGAGATTTGCCTAATCCAACTCAATTTGTGTGGACAATTTGGTTTTAGTTCTGTTCTCTTCTGTTCGGGTGTTATTAGGCTTTCTTTCTTTGTTTATTTGAGAATTGAGAAATTTGAGATTACATTTGAAGTGTATATCTTCAGGCTAGAGGCAATGTCTATTATGAAATATATTTTTGCTCCAAACTTGTGATTCTTTCAGTTTTTCATGTTTATTTCAAAGTTTATCATATTTCTTGTCAGTTTTATTCTCACAAGTGATAATGTTAAGCAACGGCAAACCATAAACGAAGAGATTTGGTTTTTGCCCTGGCTCGGGTTTTCTTTTCTGCGCTTGTTTTCAGCCAAACAAATATTCAGTAGCTATCAAAGCAACATGAAAATCGTTTACAGTATGTACATACTTAACAAACAACAAAAATCTACCAACTTTTTTTTTTTTTAAGATAAACACAAGAATTATACAAATATCGAACGATTTATCATTCTTCTTCATGGAGTCATTCAAGCATGTACAGGTATGGATGATGAACTCATGGACACGCAGCCCTTTATTCGTTCGAGAAGGGCATTTCGGGTATTTAGTCCCGAGTAAAGGGTTAAAGGTAGCCCTTCCTTCACACACTCATCGTATTTTTCCAATGCACAAACAATCTCGTTGAAATCCGGGCGCTTAGAGGGATTTGATGCCCAACAGCTCTTTATAAGGTGGGCCAGTGCCGGTTGACAGCTCGCCGGTAAAGGTGGCCGCTCGTTCTGAAAAAAATAAGAGGAGAAAAAGAAGGAGATTTATTAGTGTTGAAAATGTTGGTTTGATCGAAGTTTGGTACATCTAATATCCGAATTCTTGAATTGAAGATATGTTCACTTTGTTGTTGTTCCAATGTGATTTTAGTTTGTTTATACTTGAAGATCAAGCCCAAAATCAGCCAATCAGTGTGGGAAAAAAAAATGATAAAGCAGGGTACTTTGGTTGTGTTTGGTAAGTATATAAGTTAGCTTATAAGTTTTCTGTATTCAAATAAACTATGTTTGGTAGACAAACTTTTTTAAAATACTCGAGTTTATCTCATAAGCTTCTTTGGTAGTTTTATTACCTAATTTTACTAAACACTTTTATCATAAGATAGTTTTTCAGCCATAAGTCATAAACTATTAGCTATAAGCTCAAAATTCACTTATAAGCTATCATCTAGGTTATCAACTTATCAGCTAGTTTTACCAAAACACAACCTTAAAACATCCATTCTTATTTTTTGAAGAAAATAAAAAAAAAAAAATGTGTGATTGAATTTCGGCAACTAACCTTTTCAGAAACGGCGAAAGCGGCCTGAACGGGAGTCATTCCTTGGAAAGGAAGCAAAGCTGTAGTGAGTTCCCACAGAACAATCCCAAAGCTATACACATCGACTTTTCGAGTGTAGGGCTTCTCCTTGATCATCTCTGGTGCCATCCAACGGTAAGTTCCCATATTGCCCTTTGTCTCTCTGCACTGAGTCTCGAGACACGATGTCCCGAAATCCGCTACTTTTACTCGCATTTCGTCGTTTAATAGCAAGTTATTGGATTTGAGGTCCCTATGAATTACGCCCTGTGAGTGGAGATACTCCATTCCACGAGATATATCGAGAGCTAGCCTGAGGATAGTCTCGATCGAGAGGGAATAAGGCTCTTTTTTGTTAAGGTACATTCTTAGTGTCCCTTGAGACATGTACTCAGTAATGATGCAGTATACGGGTGGCTTCTTACATGCTGCAATGAACTGTAAAAGAAAGAATTATTGAATTTTTATTTTTTTTTATTTATTTATTTTTTTTGGGTAAGAATCGCCTAGGAAAAAGAGTAAACGATTTTATGGTGTTTTTAGATTCTGTGGAACTTGACCGAACTCTAAAGAAGGTAAAAAATGCGGTTTTGTGTTTGTAGACTTGTAGTTACGATTCTGATTAGGCTTTTGCAGCTTATAAATTGGCTTTTTAGCTATAATAAATCACTGCATTATTTTTGTTTTCCTGCTCTGCTATATACTCATGAAATGTAAAGCACAGAAGCAAAATGTAATTCTACGGGAGATAAGATCTAANACGGAAGGGGAAAAAATATACGCTTTTGTGTTTCTAGTTATGATTCTGATTTCAGTTTCGTAGTCGAACAGTCATCGTTTTACAGCTTAATAAGTTTCATTTTTATTTTTATTTTTTTACTAATTCGACATTTTAGTTTTAACGAAATCGAAAAACCCAAACCTGCACGATACTTGGATGGTACAAACGGGAAAGCAAGGCGACCTCACTCTTGAACTGGCGCTCGAGGAGGACACGTGTCTCCTCCCTATTGGTCGGGATCCTCACCATCTTGACTGCAACGGCCCTCTGCTTGTAGATTCCCCGGTAGATTCGGCTGTGGGCCCCAGAAGCAAATTTGTTGCCGATGAAGAGCTGTGAAAGGTCGGCCGTCCACTCTTCTCGCTCCTCCTCGTTCGAGGCCTCCCAAGTCTCCATGTTATCGGACTCCAAAATCATCGACCAAGACTCGAGACTGTCGAACCTTTTCTTTTCCATGTTGTCCAAGTTGAGGTTCGGTTGGGCCCTTGACGTGGGGCCCACCAACGGTGGTTTGGGCTTCGGTTTGCGGAGGCGGAACGGGTTGAAGCACGACGTGGCCATTTTTTTATTTTTTTTTTTGAATGTTCGTTTTTTTTTTTTTCGAAGAG